GGCCTCCAGTCACTGTGTCTGGGCACTGTGTTGGGTGAGGCTATCTGGCCGCCAGTCACTGTGTCTGGGCACTGTGTTGGGTGAGGCTACCTGGCCTCCAGTCACTGTGTCTGGGCACTGTGTTGGGTGAGGCTATCTGGCCGCCAGTCACTGTGTCTGGGCACTGTGTTGGGTGAGGCTACCTGGCCTCCAGTCACTGTGTCTGGGGACTGTGTTGGGTGAGGTTATCTGGCCTCCAGTCACTGTGTCTGGGGACTGTGTTGGGTGAGGCTATCTGGCCGCCAGTCACTGTGTCTGGGCACTGTGTTGGGTGAGGCTATCTGGCCTCCAGTCACTGTGTCTGGGCACTGTGTTGGGTGAGGCTATCTGGCCTCCAGTCACTGTGTCTGGGCACTGTGTTGGATGAGGCTATCTGGCCTCCAGTCACTGTGTCTGGGCACTGTGTTGGGTGAGGCTATCTGGCCGCCAGTCACTGTGTCTGGGCACTGTGTTGGGTGAGGCTACCTGGCCTCCAGTCACTGTGTCTGGGCACTGTGTTGGGTGAGGCTATCTGGCCGCCAGTCACTGTGTCTGGGCACTGTGTTGGGTGAGGCTATCTGGCCGCCAGTCACTGTGTCTGGGTACTGTGTTGGGTGAGGCTACCTGGCCTCCAGTCACTGTGTCTGGGCACTGTGTTGGGTGAGGCTATCTGGCCTCCAGTCACTGTGTCTGGGCACTGTGTTGGGTGAGGCTACCTGGCCTCCAGTCACTGTGTCTGGGCACTGTGTTGGGTGAGGCTAAACCCGGCCTCCAGTCACTGTGTCTGGACACTGTGTTGGGTGAGGCTATCTGGCCTCCAGTCACTGTGGGCTGGGCACTGTTTTTGGGTGAGGCTATCTGGCCTCCAGTCACTGTGTCTGGACACTGTGTTGGGTGAGGCTATCTGGCCGCCAGTCACTGTGTCTGGGCACTGTGTTGGGTGAGGCTACCTGGCCTCCAGTCACTGTGTCTGGGCACTGTGTTGGGTGAGGCTACCTGGCCTCCAGTCACTGTGTCTGGACACTGTGTTGGGTGAGGCTATCTGGCCGCCAGTCACTGTGTCTGGGCACTGTGTTGGGTGAGGCTACCTGGCCTCCAGTCACTGTGTCTGGACACTGTGTTGGGTGAGGCTATCTGGCCGCCAGTCACTGTGTCTGGCACTGTGCTGGGTGGGGGCTATCTGGCCGCCAGTCACTGTGTCTGGGCACTGTGTTGGGTGAGGCTATCTGGCCGCCAGTCACTGTGTCTGGGCACTGTGTTGGGTGAGGCTACCTGGCCGCCAGTCACTGTGTCTGGGCACTGTGTTGGGTGAGGCTATCTGGCCGCCAGTCACTGTGTCTGGGCACTGTGTTGGGTGAGGCTACCTGGCCTCCAGTCACTGTGTCTGGGCACTGTGTTGGGTGAGGCTATCTGGCCGCCAGTCACTGTGTCTGGGCACTGTGTTGGGTGAGGCTATCTGGCCGCCAGTCACTGTGTCTGGGCACTGTGTTGGGTGAGGCTATCTGGCCGCCAGTCACTGTGTCTGGGGACTGTGTTGGGTGAGGCTATCTGGCCGCCAGTCACTGTGTCTGGGCACTGTGTTGGGTGAGGCTATCTGGCCGCCAGTCACTGTGTCTGGGCACTGTGTTGGGTGAGGCTATCTGGCCGCCAGTCACTGTGTCTGGGCACTGTGTTGGGTGAGGCTATCTGGCCCCCAGTCACTGTGTCTGGGCACTGTGTTGGTGAGGCTATCTGGCCCCCAGTCACTGTGTCTGGGCACTGTGTTGGTGAGGCTATCTGGCCCCCAGTCACTGTGTCTGGGGACTGTGTTGGGTGAGGCTATCTGGCCGCCAGTCACTGTGTCTGGGCACTGTGTTGGGGGAGGCTATCTGGCCGCCAGTCCCCTGTGTCTGGGCACTGTGTTGGGTGAGGCTATCTGGCCGCCAGTCACTGTGTCTGGGCACTGTGTTGGGTGAGGCTATCTGGCCGCCAGTCACTGTGTCTGGGCACTGTGTTGGGTGAGGCTATCTGGCCGCCAGTCACTGTGTCTGGGCACTGTGTTGGGTGAGGCTATCTGGCCGCCAGTCACTGTGTCTGGGCACTGTGTTGGGTGAGGCTATCAGGCCTCCATCATTGTCTCTGGGCACTGTGTTGTGTGAGGCTATCAGACCTCCAGTCATTGTCTCTAGACACTGTGTTGGGTGAGGCTATCAGGCCTCCCATCATTGTCTCTGGACACTGTGTTGGGTGAGGCTATCAGACCTCCAGTCATTGTCTCTAGACACTGTGTTGGGTGAGGCTATCAGACCTCCCATCATTGTTTCTGGGCACTGTGTTATGTGAGGCTATCAGACCTCCAGTCATTGTCTCTAGACACTGTGTTGGGTGAGGCTATCAGGCCTCCCATCATTGTCTCTGGGCACTGTGTTAGGTGAGGCTATCAGACCTCCAGTCGTTGTCTCTGGACATTGTGTTGGGTGAGGCTATCAGACCTCCAGTCATTGTCTCTGGGCATTGTGTTAGGTGAGGCTATCAGGCCTCCCATCATTGTCTCTGGGCACTGTGTTAGGTGAGGCTATCAGGCCTCCCATCATTGTCTCTGGGCACTGTGTTAGGTGAGGCTATCAGGCCTCCCATCATTGTCTCTGGGCACTGTGTTAGGTGAGGCTATCAGGCCTCCCATCATTGTCTCTGGGCATTGTGTTGGGTGAGGCTATCAGACCTCCAGTCATTGTCTCTAGACACTGTGTTGGGTGAGGCTATCAGGCCTCCCATCATTGTCTCTGGGCACTGTGTTGGGTGAGGCTATCAGACCTCCCATCATTGTCTCGGGCACTGTGTTGGGTGAGGCTATCAGGCTCCCATCATTTCCCTCTGGGCACTGTGTTGGGTGAGGCTATCAGACCTCCCATCATTGTCTCTAGACACTGTGTTGGGTGAGGCTATCAGGCCTCCCATCATTGTCTCTGGGCACTGTGTTGGGTGAGGCTATCAGACCTACCATCATTGTCTCTGGGCACTGTGTTGGGTGAGGCTATCAGGCCTCCCATCATTGTCTCTGGGCACTGTGTTGGGTGAGGCTATCAGACCTCCCATCATTGTCTCTAGACACTGTGTTGGGTGAGGCTATCAGGCCTCCCATCATTGTCTCTGGGCACTGTGTTGGGTGAGGCTATCAGACCTCCCATCATTGTCTCTGGGCACTGTGTTGGGTGAGGCATCAGACCTCCCATCTTTGTCTCTAGACACTGTGTTGGGTGGGCTATCAGGCCTCCCATCCATTGTCTCTGGGCACTGTGTTGGGTGAGGCTTTTCAGACCTCCCATCATTGTCTCTGGGCACTGTGTTGGGTGAGGCTATCAGGCCTCCCATCATTGTCTCTGGGCACTGTTCGGTGGTCGGATAAACTTGCAAATAAACACAAACGCTGTTTTGTCCATCATATATATGTTTACGAAGATCTTCACAATAGTTCTGAATATTTCTTTGTTTTATTTTGAGTCTATCATGTCACTTATGATATCTGTGAAGCAGATGATTGATAGTCAACATCATTTGATGGTTCAGGGGTAACACAGAATGCTGAGCTACAGTCCTCCTCACTGGTGACTGTTGTGGTGTAGTGTGTTCCTGCAGCATGGTGCCTGCTGACTGCCATTGTTGGGTGAGAATCTGAGCAGGAGAACCGGAAGCCGGTTAAGCAATGGTGCGACCCCGTCGCTGTGCCAGGGAAGTGGCCCCTGGATCCCGTGTTACTGTAGCCTCCTCTGGACGAGGCTACTGCTCAGTGGTGAGGCTGGATAACCGGAATTTTCCATGCTGTTTTGACACGGTAGAGCCTCTTCAGGCAGTGCAGATTCATGGCATGATGCTTCTTGCCGCAGTTTGGACACCGAGGCTTCGTAGCCTCTCCTCTTTTTAGTTTATCCAAGCAGTCCTTGATCGGGTAAGACCCGATGTAGATACCACATATTCCTTTAAACTGACGTCGGGCCCTGAGGTGGTTGTACCTGTGGCACTTGAAGCGCCTTAAAGGTCCTGGGTTGTACGTCCTAACCTGGTATTTTCCCGACATCCAGTTGAGCTGGGAAAGGTCCTCTATGTTGGATCAAGACTTGCCTCGTAGGCACATTGCCGTTTGTCTTGGCTCGGAGCTGCTCAGTCTTCACGATGTTTTTGTTGCTATGGACTGCAACGAGAGGCATGTCTAGTGGATAGCACATTAGTATACCTTTTGTTATCCACTCTATGGATTTTAGTGGTGATTCCAGGTCATTCACCTTCTGCAGAACTTCGTAGGACTCTGTGTTTCGGAGTGTGAGAATAAACTCTCCTTTCAGATTTGGGGACACTAATATCTTCAGGCTACATTTCCGCTCGAGGTGAATTATAGCACAATACTGGATGTCGTGGTGTCCTTTGCTTAACAATCTAAATTTGTTACCTGCAGATGGCTTGGCTTGCCAGATCTGAAGCAAAGAAACATTGTGGCTTCGCTGGGACTTCGAGGCTCCTGCTACCTGCCAACCTTCTCCATCCAGTATATCTGGGGTTGGGATGAGTTTCCTGATCCATCCCTATCTCACTGGCCCGGCTGGTATCTCTTGCTTTACTTTCCCATAAGCCCAGGGAGTCCAATGACTGCTCTAGCAGCTTCTTCGCCAGAACTGCGCCCAAAATTTCCAAACCAGAGTCCTCGGTCGACCCCTTGCAACATCACGACCTCTTCCTCTCGGTAGGCCTACTGTAGTGTACCTACGTGTTTATTTAGGTTTACAGTTGGGATAAGCCTACCTGGTAACACCCAGTAGGCCTACTGTGGTGTACCTAAGTGTTTATTTAGATTTACAGTTGGGATAAGCCTACCTGGTAACACCCAGTAGGTCTACTGTAGTGTACCTACGTGTTTTTAACTTAGGTTCTAGGGTAGGTACCGAGGTAGTACCTACCCTAGAACCTCTGTAGTGAGGTACCAGTTAATAAGAGTGTGTTGTATTCTCCAGGGTAGGCGTGGTGAACACCAAGGGCGTGAACACCAGAGGCGTGTATGCGACCTCACACCCACGCCCATCTTGCTGATAACAAGGCTCTCAGGGATTACGCCCACGGACACGCCCACTCCCACATCAATGGCTACTGCATTACCAGAAGGAATAAAGGAGTAAGTACCACCACCAATACTACTACTACTACTACTACTACTTTTGCTACTACTACTACTACTACTACTACTTTTGCTACTACTACTACTACTACTGTTGCTACTACTACTACTACTACTACTGTTGCTACTACTACTAGTACTACTACTACTACTACTTCTACTACTACTGCTACAAGTACTACTACTACTACTACTACCACTACTACTATTACTAGCACTGCTACTACTAGTACTATTACTACTACTATCACTACCACTACAACTACCACCACCACTACTAACACTACTATTCACTACTATTACTACTGTTGCTACTACTACTAGTACTACTAGTACTACTACTACTGCTACAAGTACTACTACTACTATTACTACTACTACTACCACTACTATTACTACTATTACTACCACTGCTACTACTACCACCACCACTACTACTACTACTACTACTACTACCACTATCACTACCAGTACAACTACTACCACCACTACTACTACTATTACTACCACTGCTACTACTACTACTACTACTACTACTAACTAATCTTGTCAACACATGAGTGCAAACTAGCATAACTGACGTGTGGAAGATAGTTCATGTAACTACTATCCAAAAAGTGTGGTGTACAGGACCCTATCATCTAACTACTGCCCAGTCTGCCTTACAACGCGAAGATATTTGATTCACTTGTGGTATTTTGAGAGTATTCCGATCCAGATTGTTGAAGAAAGTGGCGGTTCATGGTATTTGAGGTGAAATTCACTCTTACATCGAGTCAAAGTTGACCAACAGGCATTAGTACACACTAATGAGGTGACCTATTATTATTATAACAATAATAATAATAATGTTAATGTCTACCAGTACCTGATACAACTTATACAGACCATAGCTCACACCAATGACATACTATATAGAAAGTTCCTGGTTATGTAGAGCATTTCCCACAACTTGGGTTAATTTTGTCCTCAGGATGCCACCCAGACTAGTCACCTAACACCCAGGTACCTACTTACTGCTAGGTTGAACAGTGACAGCAGGTGTTAGTAGACTAACACCCAGGTACCTACTTACTGCTAGGTGAACAGTGATAGCAGGTGTTAGTAGACTAACACCCAGGTACCTACTTACTGTTAGGTGAACAGTAACAGCAGGTGTTAGTAGACAAACACCTAGGTACCTACTTACTAATAGATGAACAGTGTCAGCAGGTGTTAGTAGACTAACACCCAGGTACCTATTTACTACTAGATTAACGGTGTCATCAATTGTTAGCAGACTAACACCTAGGTACCTACTTACTGCTAGGTGAACAGCGACAGCAAGTGTCTTAAGGAAACACGTGTTAGACAGTGTCAGAGAGTTAGACAGTGTATGAGAGACTGAGGATGACTGAGGGAATCTGTCACCACCAGACACATAATATATCTAAGGCTTAAAGCCAGATAAGTCTTTGCCAACGTGACCTATCACGTTCATCCTGCCTCTTCCCTTCAAGATATATATATATTTATTTTTTTTATTAGCACACTGGCCGATTCCCACCAAGTTTGAAGAAAATAACTCATTGCCTTTTCTAGATGTTTTTAATTATTAAGGGTAATAATGAATTCAAATTTAAAATTTACAGAAAACCTACAAATAACTGTTCCTATGTCCACTATTATTCCTCGCATCAAGATAGAGTCAAACTGTCTGTTTTCTCATCAATGTTTTTGAGAGCTTTACGAATTTGTAGTCCTGAGTTCATAGATGAGGAAATATCCAAAATTTATGAAATAGGTAATGATTTAAAATACCCAAGAAATGTAATTGATAAATCTTTTAAAATTTGCTAGAATACTTTTTCAATCCAAAAAGGGACAACCAGCCTTATTCAACTAAAAATATGTTGGTCTCCCTTACCATCAAAATTGGTTGATTGCCTTCTCTTCTTAAGACTTTTAATATTAAAGTTGTATTCAAAATCTTGATACAGTAAAAAAACTTTTGATAAAGAATTCCCCAAAATGTGATGGATGTGTTATAAGATTCCTTTTTAAACTTTGCGATAAAGTTTATTACGGTCAAACTGGTAAAAAATCTCGAACAAAGATTAAAACAACATAAATATAGCTTTTAGAACTGGACAAGATTCCAATGCTCTATTTATTCATGTAAGAGATTTTAACCATCCAATTGATTTTCAAAAAGTTGAGAAGAAAGTATCAAGCAAGTCCATGGTCGACAGGAATATAATTGAATCTTGTTTCATAAAAAGCAGTTTTGACAATAATTTTAATATTTCCTTTGGTTTATATTAAATTAGATCATTTATAATTAATAGAATTTGGGAAGAATTTATAATACACTGGACAAATAATTTTTAAATTTTCTTGGGTAGAATAGTTTGTGGGTGAGTTGTGCAAAGGAACTATCCAAGTTGGGTCGGCGCGCGTCAGGTTTTTTAACCGATGTGGGGATCTGATAGTGAGGTGCTGGCCAGACCCCTTTTATAGCTTCCTTGGATGCTTTACTTTCATTGTTCCTTGATAATGTGAGTAGTCACGAAAGCGCTTGGAATTTCTCTATTCTTTTTAGAGTGGTTGTTTTGCATATTCTGAAATCACCTGTTTACTGTGAACTTATTGCATTATATATTATATATTATATATATATAATTTATATATATTTATTATATATATATATATATATATAATATATATTTTATATATATATATTTATATATATTTATATATATATATATATATATATATATATATTTTTAGTAAAATTTATTAATATATATATATATATTTATTTATTTTTTTTTTTATTATCACACCGGCGATTCCCACCAAGGCAGGGTGGCCCGAAAAAAGAAAACTTTCACCATCATTCACTCCATCACTGTCTTGCCAGAAGGGTGCTTTTTCACTACAGTTTTTAAAACTGCAACATTAACACCCCCCCTTAGAGTGCAGGCACTGTACTTCCCATCTCCAGGATCAAGTCCGGCCTGCCGGTTTCCTGAATCCCCTTTTAAATGTTTTCTTTGCTCACACTCCAACAGCACGGGCAAGTATTAAAAACCATTTGTCTCCATTCACTCCTATCAAACACGCTCACGCATGCCTGCTGGAAGTCCCAAACCCCTCGCACACAAAACCTCCTTTACCCCCTCCCTCCAACCCTTCCCAGGCCGACCCCTACCCGCCCTTTCCCTTTCCCCTACAGACTGTACACTCTTGAAGTCATTCTGTTTCGCTCCATTCTTCTACATGTCCAAACCCTAAAACCCCTTCCTCACCCCTTGGAAAAAACAGTTTTGTAACCCCGCACCTCTCCTAATTTCCAAATACAAAATTCTCTGCATTATTTTCCACCAACATTCCCCTCAGAAGACATCTCCATGCCCCCAGCCTTTCCTCGCGCAACTTCATACCCACGCTTAACCCTAAAAGAGCTTTGGGTTTTAAAAACATACTTCTACTTTCCCCTTTTGCCCCCAAGGACAAAGTTCTTTGTTCCCACAGACTCTTTTGCACCACTCATTTTTTTCCCTCATCAATTCTTGTTCCCCTATCTTTCAGGGGACCCATCCGTGAAGTCCCCCCCAAATTAAAATTTACGTTCACTCCTCCATCTCTCTCCCCCAATTGAATTCAATTTTTCATCCCCTAATCTTTTTGTTACCCTCATACTTACTTTTTCCCTGTATTCACCTTTATTTTCTTCTTTTGCAACCCTCCCAAATTATCCCCCAATCTCTGCAACTTCTCTTGAATTCCCAAGAGACATGTATCAGAAGAGCAGCTGTGACAACTCCCATTTGTGTGTGATTCTTTATTTTTTAACTCCAGCCTCTTCCCAAAGCCCTCGCATTTATTCTCTTAAACCCCCATTAAAATTATTAAACAACCAGGGGACATAACTCCTTGTTAAGGTACTTTTCGGGGAAAAATTTCCCTTTTTCCCAAATTACTCAAATTTGGGCCCTCACTACCTGTAAAAAATCTTCATGCTTTCGAAAAACCTACCCCCTACACCTACACTTGAACACTCCCACATTGCCCCCTATCACCCTGTCATACCCCTTTTCCCAATCCAAAAAATGCAAAAAGACCTTTTTACCCTTATTTAAATATGTTCCTTATATTTTTCACTGAAAAACACTGGTTCACAACCCCTCCTTTCTAAAGCTCCTTGTTCATCTGCTACCCTTTCTCGTCTTCTCAAATTTTTTCTTTTTAAAATCTACCTACACTTTACCGGTACATCAACAGACTTATCCCCCTATAATTTTTGCACTCTTTTATCCCTTTCCCTTTTAAAAAAAGGTATGCATGCTCTTCCCAACCCCTAGGTACCTTACCCTCTTCCCTACATTTTTTAAAATAATTGCACCAACCACTCCAAAACTATATCCCCCCCTGTTTTTAAAAATTTTTCTTCTTTTCCCATCAACCCCGGCTGCCTTCCCCCCTTTCTTTTTTCCCTACTCCCTCCGAACTTCCCCCACACTACAACGGGCTCTTCCTCACTCTCAATGTTATTCCTCCTTGCCCTATCCCGAAATCACGCTTCCCTATCTTCATCAACATTTAAAAATTTCCTCAAAATTTTCCCTTCCTTTTCCCCAATACTCTCCTCCATTTAAAAACTCCCTCTCTATTTTTAACTGAAAATTTTTGTTTCTAGGCTTTCTTAATTGTTAATCTCACCCAAAAACTTTTTCTTATTTTCAACAAAATTTGTTGATAAAATCTCCCCCCACTCTCTCTTTTGCTCTCTTTTTACATTGCTTCCCCACTCTCTTAATTCTTCTTTTTCTCCATATATTTCCTCCTTGAAACTTTACTTTGTAAAAATTTCCAATGCTAACTTTTTCTCCCTTATACTCTCTTTACCCCTTTTTCCCCAATCGCCTCTTCCTCTGCCCATTTTCCTGTAACCACAACTTTGCTGAACACTTAACACTACATTTTTAAACCTCCCCCTCCCTTTTCGACCCCAT